AGACTGGTGACCTCCCCCCCCCCCCCCCCCCCCATGACTGAGCAGATCCTACACCACTGGTAGAGAATACCCAAGTGTAACCAGTTTACTTTATCATTTGCTGTATAATTATGTCCTATTGTATATAAGCACTTCAATTCTTACTACAAAACCTTCCTTCCCGCCTTGATTGAAACGACCTTCTCTACTTTGAATCATTCTGACCTATTTTGCTATTTTCCGAATTATACTTCATCATACCGAATTAAACTTCTTTTATTTCAGAATATAATATATCAATAATTAAGAAGGTGGAATGAGAGTACATGTAGCAAGGGTGAATGCGCGAGAGAGAAGTCAACGGCCCGGAGGGGCTACGGTATAGCTTAGTAGAATATTATTTCTGTTAAGTATTTTGGTTCGTTTATTGCAATGTCTATAGTTGTTCAATTGTCGCATTTTATTTGGATTTAGTCAACTAGGGTAAAATCAGTAAACAGTGATTGATTTGTAAAAGGCCTTGTATTACGTTTGATATTATTCTTTATATTTTTGGAGCATTTATATTTAAAAAATGCAATTTACGTCAGTACTTCACATCACCATTAAGATTTGAGACATTATACCCAATGAGTTCAATGGAATGCATGTAGCTATTTAATGTACTTGTTGTAAAAATGTACGTATCTGTATCATGAACCAAGTATTAACTGTACTACATGTATATATGTATATATTTAGGTATATATATATATATATATATATATATATATATATATATATAAATACACACACACACATTATATCATTCATTGTTCCGACAACTATACCTTGGATTGTTACTAACTACAATAGCACTATTTATTGTATTGTAAATAGGTTTGTGTGACGAACGAATTCACGAAGTTCATACAAAAGATGCATATATGTGTTGGAAGATCAAGTACTTGTGTCTAATAGGAATTGCTTTCGTATTTCATCATTCCATTATCTTGATCTTTAGAACGGGATACGAAACTCAATTTAATTATTTGATACATTTTTAATATGCGTTTCATAACAAATATGTGATTGGTAATTACATGAATGTATACGAGTTGTTAGTATTTTATGTTTATAATGACATTGTAAATAAGTATTTAAGTTTTGTTTATATATACACGTTATAAATCGTCAAACACATGCAAAGGATGCTGTTTTTTTTCTTCTCACTTTGTCCTCACTGTGTCTCGCCAAGAACTCCCATCAGCCATAATTAAACTCTTCACAACAAATGACGCTATACACACATACCAAACACGACATGCAACACGTGCAAACTATCATCTTCCTCTAACCGGGACAGTTTTCGCCCAAAAAAGTATTTCATACACAGGACCAAACTACTGGAGCACCATTATTCCAAATCTCAAACAGCTTAAAAACTGTGGCAGCTTTAAAAATCATTGAATTCGTATATGTAATGCACAACTATACCATTTTTTCCCGACTATGACTACCGGCCTTCAACATTATATTCTAAAAACTTTCTTTTCTCTTTCTACTCATTCTTCTTCTGACCCCCTTTCTTTACCTTCTCTTCCTATTTCTCTTCTTTCTTACATCCATCATCCATATCATTTCATTGTTTTTTTCTGTATAATTTGCTTTTCAATTGTTATACTTCTAACTTATTATGAATGACAACGTGTCAAAATTATTTTGAGGAACTTAAATTCTACAAGCTATATGCTTTTTATTAAGTTCCTTTTTTCACATGTAATTTCGACATTATTTAGTGTAAATGCCATACAAACTTATGCTATGTAGATGTTGTTATCGTTCACGAATATCAATTTTGTAAATATGCTATGTTTTGTTAATGTATTGTATTTTTTTCATGTAAAATAAAAGAAACTAAATGAACTGAACTGTGTATGTTTTCAATTGGTTTTAGAGAGGAATGCACTTACAAACAAGCTATAATGATAACAGTTTTTGTTTCATGGATATGTAGCTCAAATCAACAGTATAGAAGTAACTGAGGGGAGTGGTAGTCCTGTAGGTAAATTTACTACGCAATCTAAAGGAGTCGAAATCCGCTCTTCTGGTACATTTGTAGTTATATTGGGTTAGGGCCTCCAATATTTGCTCTGATAATCTGCTCATTAAACAACATACAAAATATAAATCCTTTAAATGGGGAAATATCAATTTTGTAAAAACATATATATTTACAATGTCAATTTACCGGTAACCATGGACAAATAATAGTGATTAACTTTTGTGCATCTTCACCGGACATACTGTGACTAATCTTGCGAGCTCCTCTCAAATTTGCTCTGTAAAGAAATTGTCAGAAACTGTTATTTTTCTAATTATTGATGACGGAAGAAATTTGTTTCATATAGGTTTTGTTTATAAAAACATACTTGCAACAATCAAATTTAGGAAGCATGTATGAATTGAAATGTTCTTTAGGGCAAAAATAAAAATGTATGAAATGTTGGTACAGAGAAAATTTGGTGATGGGGGGGGGGGGGGAGCTTAGAAGATACGTCACAGAGTTGCCAATTTGTGTTCGATTGATCGCAACTTCAAAAAGTCATAACTTTCATAATTTTAATCGAATTTTGCTCAGAATTCCACTGACCAGTTCCTCTTATATCCTGCTTCCATAAAAAAAAAGAATCAAGAAGGGAGAGAGAGAAGAAAAACAGGTGAAGGTGGGGGTCAAAGAAAAGGTGGAGAGAGAAAAGGGAAGATGTAGAAAGGGAGAAGCAAAGAGGGTGATAGAGAAAGAAGGATGGAGTTTGAGAAAGAGAGAGGGGGGGGGAGAGAGAGAGGAAGATAAACAAAAAAGAGGGACATAGAGAAAGGTAGAGAGAGAGGGAGAAAGAGACAGGATAAAATAGGAGTAATGGTACGTGACAGAAGAATATCTCAAGCAGCGATAATGATAGCAAGATTAAAAGAGAGAGAGGTTGAACATAAAGGAAAATAGAAAGAAAGAAAATGAAAAAAAAGAGGAAGAACTAGTGTTGGAAGAGAAAATACCATGAGAGAAAAACTAAGAATCAGGAGTGACAAAAAACAGACATAAAGCTTTGAGGTATGTGTTTTTGAATGCTTCATCGTCAGATGAGAGAGCAGAACCAGTAAAACGATTAAATGATAATATATTGATATGGGAATATTGTAAAATAAAGTATAATCCATCATTCAAAAGGTTACTTTAATAGTGAAATTAGATGAATTATACACTTTACAGATTCCACAAATAAATAAAAGTAAGCTATTATTTTCATATAAAACATCAGATATGTAGAATGTTGGAAACAAGGAAGTAGGCACTAAAAACGCATAGGCAGATGTACACATTATAATGTGTTGATGAAGTAGGAGAGCGAGAAAGAGGGAGAGGGGAAAAGATAGAAAAAGTAGTTAGTGAGAGAAGAAATAACAGAAGGAGAGAATGAGTAATATAGTAAAGAGAGAAAATGGAAAGAGGTAAAAGAGAAAGTCCAATTTCATCAATATCCACATGTTACTTCCTTTGGTCTTATACTAATAAATATGGTTGTATTGATATATTTCACATGGCTCATAGTGAATATTGATTTAAAAGTGTATACTCCAGCCTGTTGCCTTTCGTGTTTACCCCCATCTATCTTACCTTGGCTATATTTTATTACATATTTAACTTAGTATTATATTCTATGTTTCCAGTATTCCGTATTATTATTTTGAAATATTGTACGATTATGGATTCAGTATTATTGTTTCCTAATATAAATTTTCATTTACTAGATATGATATTTGCAATTCAAATGCATTTTTTTACGGGTCTGTGATATATCGTTACGCTGGTGGAAAGCTTTGAATCCCGCAGCTTTGAATCCCGCCGATTTCAAGATCTTTTCAGACTTGTTTTTTATTTCAAAATCGAGCACGCGATCTTTATTTACTGGGTGCAATTAAGCAGAAACTTCTATACCAAAAATATTTAAAAAATAGTGGTAGGAGATTTTTAAATGAAGAATATACGAGAGAACGATATAGTGGTAGAACTTAGTAGTAAGAGGGGTAGAGATAACAAGGGGGGAAAACGCATGTGAGAGAAGGAACATGGAAATTGAGACGGAGAAATTATCTCTTTTGATAAGTAACACTGTCAAGATATAGATTAAAGGGAATCGTCCTCTTGAATGAGCTAAATTTTAATATTAGGGACTTTTAGATTTGCGGGGACTGATACGTGTGACGTCCATTCAAGGTAGTGCATTAAAAGGAGGTCGATCGTAGCAATCCCTATTGTCTTCGTGCGAATCTAAACGTCCCTATTACTAGAGCATACTTCCTCGTTTGAATGGTTATTTGTGTAGGCCTACTAAAACTGATTACTACTAGACCACTAAACAATGGATAGTTCCAACATCTGTTAGTCTTTTTGCTGATTTCAATTGTACAAAGGAATTACTCTCTAGCTGTTCGAAACGCCCAGTGTCATATTTAACGCCTTCTCAATACTGCATTATAGCAGGCGATAATTGAGGCACGGTTGCGAGATTGTTCCCATTACCTTTAGCCTCTGTACGTATGGCGTCCTCTGTATTGCGTATTGGTGTAGTATATTGAGTAGAAACTAGAATATTAAGCAGAAAAAGTAATACACGATTGGACACTTGGTTCATAATCTTTGAAACAAAGTGCGCCTGTGTGAATGTTCTACGTTGAATATAGATTCATTCAATGTTGAAGCTATTCTCCATACAAATGAAATCGAAATGCGTTGGATTTTATTTTGTATAAAATATGCATACTGGATTTTGTTAAACGTCTGTGTAAAGGGTATCATCTCTAAGTGTAATAGCTTGAGAATCCTATAAAGACTTGTATCGTGTACATAATCTGTACTGACTGCAGCATATATTGGCACTGGATTAACCGATAAAGGATAATACTAGATTTTGTGGAGAAGTTAAGTGATTCGGAACAATAGGACTCATTTACAACAGGCTCGATCAAAGCGTTATTGCAGCATGGCATTGATGAATCGTTCCAACCGGAAGATATTGGTCAAACTGATTGGGGTAGGAATAGTTGTCATCCTTCTCATCATACTAATCGAAACATTCGAAAGAGACCACAAGACTGTTGCGAATTTTCAAGGTTCTGGAGGAGTGGTTGGATTCTTGCACAGGATGACATGGATAACGCCTCCGAATAAAGAACGAGTTGATAAGGCAAAGGCTTTGAGCTATAAGGGCAGACACAGGAAGTATTTTTCTGAAGCACTTGTAGATCTGTTTGGGTTTTCTAGTGAATGCCATCTACGTGACGCTGATGGTACTAAAAAGGGTCTGCGTTCAACAAGCGTTATTATTCTTCTGCATTCTTCCCCATCGAGAGTGGCACTCCGGGGTAAAATACGAGAGACATGGGCTAGCCCTGAGGAATGTCGGAAACATGGTGTTCTTGTAAGATTTGTAATGGGTGGGCCAGCCAGTCAGGACGAGGTAGAACTGCTTAAGGAAGAGTCAGCTAAACACGGCGATGTTTTGGTCGGGAATTTCACTGATACTGTCCGAGCAACCACCATGAAATCTCTACTTGGGCTTCGATGGACTATCGTATTTTGTTCTCGAATCGATTACGTAATCGAGGCCAGCGACAAAACATTCATGTGGTTGGACAAACTGCCGAAGCTGCTACGGACCTTTAAAAAGGAAAAGAACTCAAAGTTTATTCTTGGGGCCCGATCCAACTCTTCCAGAGTTGTTCATGAAGCCTCGAGCGAGTTCTACGTCGGGAATGCCGTATTGAATCGTGAATTTTACCCAGTTTACTGCTCCCTGCAAGGAGGTATTATCATGCCTTTTGCCCTGGCGGTAAAACACTACAAATACACTTGGTCAACACCAGCATTGGTGCCTTTTGCTGATGCCCTGATTGGACTTAGTGCTGAGGCGTATGGCTGGAAGGTAAAACATAGCCACGCTTTCTCTCTGGAACATATAGGACCGAATGATGCTTGTCCCTTGAGTTCTCGATTCACAGCAATATCCCCTATCTTTTATAACATTCCTACAATCTGGCAACAGCTACATGATAGGATGTACATGAAGGAGTGTGATAACCCAGATCTGGATGTAATCTACGCGGGAAAAGTTGCAGATAATGCCAGGTATTTCAAAACGGTCTTGAAAACTGTTAGAGAAAGTTCCGAGGTCAGCTGTGTGGAGCAAGATTTGTTCATGATAGTGCTTATCTCATCCCATCCAGCACGTAAACATTCCCGGGACACTATACGTGGAACCTGGGCCAACAAGGACTTCTTGGGTTCTCTCTCAAAGAAGGTCAAGGTGTTCTTTCTCATTGGACAACCCGATCCATTGAATCCTGCGCTAAGATTAACCTTGGACGAAGAGCACGATGAGAACCGTGATCTCCTAGAGGGGAATTTCCTCGACACGTTCAAGAACCTCACCTTGAAACACATGTTCGGTTTGACCTGGACGGCAGATCACTGCAGCAATGCAAAGTATTTCTTGAAGGGTGATGACGATGTCTTTGCAAATCTGGAAAACATCATCAACCTCCTGCAGGAGATGAACAGCCATGGCAGGGGTCTTCGTGAACTGTACCTAGGAGATGGAGGAAGGGAATACCGCAACAGGGATCAGAATAGCAAATACCATGTGTCGTCTGAAGAATACAGCGGCAGGGTCTTCCCGCAATACTGCGTGGGTGGAGGCTACGTGCTTTCCATGGACCTGGTAGTCCGCGTTCTGCAGGAAGCACTGCGGACACCAATGCTGTCTTCAAGGGATGATGTCTTCGTTGGTATCCTTATGAAGAAGATACAGGTGCCTCTAGTCTACAATGAAGGTTTTCTCTACACCATGGGACCAACTGATACATGTTCCCTGAGGGAAAAGAGTTTCATGGTGATGCATGTTCATGATAATGTCGAGGCACTTTTAAAGATTTGGAGGAATTTCGTGAAAACCGATGTGCAGTGTTAGTCTATTTGGGGAGCCAGAAGTGCGTTGACAAGTTTAATGTAGACGTGTTGGGGCATATAGTTGATACAACATCGGGCTGTGGATCAAAATGGTCCATGGTTCGAGTCTCACTGTGGCACCTATAACCGATTGGCAAGTCATTAAGCTACTTTTGCCACTCTCCACCCAGCGTACACAGAAGGAAAATATTTCCTTATCATGGGAGGTTCAGCTACATCCGGGGTAATAATTAGATACTTTGTATTAAGTGCAGGAGAGTACCGGTATATTTGTAAATTACTTAAATATAAATTGACATAATATAATCATTAAGATCATTTGTGTTCGACTTATTCACACGCATAACGTACATGTATATGTAAATGCACTTAAAGTAGTTCGAAGTATCAGGGGGGCGTTTCAAAAAGCCCTTTAGTGACAAATAACAAAATCAGTGACATATCTGCTGATTTAGGAATAACAGTTGTTTTACAGCGATGTTTGGTTATTTCGATTTCAGACATAATGTAGTACTGTAATTGGTGACATACTGTAATGTGCCGCTTTTATAATCCAAGCTCTCTTATCACGTGGCCTACAGGAACATTTAAAGTGGCCTCTACAATAAAACTTGGGAATGAGAGCATACAGTTGTCATGGGGTTGACATTGAAAAACAGGAATAAGTGAACCCAGTTAGTAAATAGTAGGCCTACAACTCTCCTTTTGGTTTTTGCATCCTCCATTTCAGATACGTATGGCTAGGTTTTGCAGGTGCGCCCGCACCCTCTTTCTATAGGGGTACCCACACACACAACCCCGCCTACCCACACACGCACTTATATATCATCAAACCTATCACACACCCACAACGCGGTCACACACCTCCACGTAAATTCACGCTTATGTTTCTTCCCATCCCACATCACACACAAAAACCCACATCCCACTCACAACCCAGCCACCCACAACCCAGCCACCCACCCACACAACATTACATTTATGTCTCATCACACCCACATATGCATATAACTCGTTTAGACTATATACCAACACATTGCTCATACAAGAAGAACAAATTGTTTCAAATTATGCTACACCCATAACGCCAATAAAATCTAAATTATGAGATAAATGTCTTTTCAAATTTCCACCATTTCCCATTATTGATTGCAAATGAGAATCAATCCTGTTATACTGCAGGGTAATTGGGTAAAATTACTCAATCTTCACAGACAACTAGGTTCCTCAAATTATTAAAGAAATCATTTTACTAATGTTCTGTATGGAGCATGATTTGAATTGAACTCTTCATAGATGCGTACATGTATCACATGTAAACACCTACTAATGACTCTTCCTAATTGCTTTAAGATTTTTTCACAATGTAATCGCTTGAACAGAACCTAACCTTTCTCATAAAATATTTTCTATTTGTCCAATTTTGTTGAAACCTCCTCTGAGTTGTTTCTCCCGATTTCTCTGCTCCCTTAAAAAAACACCTGTCTAGATAACACATAAATTTCTCCACCCACAATACCAATACAAAACACGAAAAACAAGTACCTCGATTGAAATGATAACTTTCAAATCATTTATTTAACTCAAAACATCCTGAAACTATCTGCATACCATGTTGTCTATCTTTTTGCACTGATATCTTACATGGCTATCTCCATTAAGAGAAGAATGATAGATATTAAAGAAGAATTCCTAAAACATTTTATTGAACTTTTACTCAAGCATTACAAACACGGGACAGTATTGCAATACACATGCATGTTAATTGTTCAACCTATGTATTCATGGTTTTGTCCTGACCAACTCGAATATAAAGATGACCAACATAAAGGAACATGTATAAACAAATTTTAGGGGAGTGTAGGCCAAAACAAAATACATATTTAAATGTTTAGTGATGATTCAGAGCACTGATATGGCGCCAAATTTATTTAAAAAAAAAAAAAAAACGAGGTGCAGGCTTCTTTAATTAAGTCAGCATTTTCACAATTGCATTTCAAATTTGAAACCGCATTTCATAGTGCAACAAAAGAATTGTACAGTTATGGAATAACAATAGGCATGATTTGATTCAATTATGTTAAAAATGACACTTCACAATGGTATGACCCATTAAGTTCTACTCATATTTCCTCAATTTCCGCCTTCCTTTTGCGTAGTGACGACTACAAGCACATGCGTACTTTTAAGTGATGCACGTGTCCAATATGCACTACTTGAGGCTTTCCGTAACACCATGTGGTAGCCTTACTGAAAAGGCTGTTGATATATTCTGTCGTCAAAGTACCCGCTAATGTTGTATAAGGTGTTAAGAGGAATTAAGGAATAAGTATAAAGAAAAGAGTAAGAAAGGAAGGAATAATAATGGAATGCAGTTTTATGAAACGCTTACACAAGATTATTGGGGTTTTCGTTTTCAATGTTGTGTACACCGAAAATTAGGTGAACAGAAAGGAGGGAAGAGAAGGCAAAGGAGGGATCGAGATTGAGAAGGTCGTGAGCAGATTACAAAACTTGAAGGGTGAACAAAAAGAAAAGTGTAATTCTTAAAAGAATTGTTGGTATTCCTCTGTGGAGTAGTTCTCAAAACATTTTCTGAACTACGGTATTCTTCTTTTTCTTCTACTTCTGTGTCAACGGATTTGTAACAGTGTGATGGATTTATTGTCAGATAGTTCTTATGCTATTGTGAAAGACTAAAAGGCCTTATTTTCACAAGGGTTTAACTTTGTGTGAGTTGTTTAAGGGTCATGAAAATACCAGTGCTATAGAATATTTGTTAACTAGTCATCTGCAATAATGATAGAATATCTGTAAACTAGTCATTTGCAAAAATGATAGAACATCTGTTAACTAGTCATCTGGAAAAATATATGTAAAAAGTGAATATTGTTGGCTGAGAAGATATTATGCCTCCACATTGTGTTTCCCGACAGAATGGTTATCTAAACAGTTGATATTAAACATATAGTGCACTGTTGCGAATGTGTAAGGGCAGGGCCAGTGCACAAAGTTTAGTCAGTGCACATAGTGATAATGCACACGCCCGCAGGTCAAGTGCAATATCGATATCGCACTGATTGGAGATGGGATATGTTTTGCACGGTGGGACAAATAAATGTCAATTAACCAATCAAACTGCTTAGATTCTAGAACCCGTCTTATAAAAAAACAGTAATTCAAAGAAGTTAACATGCAATATTTTATAAAGCTTTGAAGACGTACGTCGGACAATATAATAAGTAACAAACATGTATGGATACGACAGTTCATAAAGTAAGGATTTTTTTAACTGAAAGACAGAGGAGAGAAGAGAGTAGTAGAGGAGTAGAGAACAAAGCTAAAGCAGAGCGACCGAGGAAGCAAAATAGTTGGGGAGACAGAGATGTAGAAGAGGGTGGATAGGAGAGGGCAGGTTAATAAATTGGCCAAAGCTGTTATAATTTACATATCTGTCGTTACTTACACGGAATAAATATACATATATATATATATATATATATAACATGCCAGGTATTGCAACAGTTCTTGAATACTAAATGGAAATGGAATGACCATAATAGGGTGAATGAAGAACAGGAAGCATAGAAGTGGAAAGTCCAAGAAGAAAGCGATGAGGGGAATCTAGAGCGAGAGAGAGAGAGAGAAAAAAATTGTAGTTAAAAAGTATTGATATATCGGAGGAATAATTGGTTTGCTACGTTATGATTCATTCATAATGTTGTTACATACAAAGAATATATAAACAACATATATCAATTTGTGGGCGTAATGTAACTTTGAATTCGAATCAAATATATAGAAGGGTAGTAGAAGGAGAGGAGAGACAAATAGCAAGGGGGAGGGGATGAAAACACCAGCAGAGGAATATGAATAAATTAGAAGGATACCAGAGGGAGAGTGAGAGGTAGGAAGGACAGTGAAAGCGAGAGGGGGAGGGAATAAAAGGAAGGGCGTTGAGGAAAGTTAGAAGTAAGAAAGATTGGGAAACATGGTGGATTTCTAAGATATGATTCGACTGCATCTCATATAACTAATTCTTTACTTTTACAGACAATATTGAGCAACTGTTACAAAATATATGTTATAATCCTCTGGAAGAAGATGGCGTTATCAACAAACTCATACTTATGCTCACCAGCCCAGTCTTAGGACGGTGGGCCCAGATTGAGCTCGCGAGGGAAACTTGCGCATGCGCACTCGCAAAGGAAACCAGCACATGCGCACGTGGAGTATGGTAAGGTGGTTACGCGGTCAAGTTGACATTCAATTCAACTCAATTCAATTTTATTTCATTCAGTTAAACAGACAACATTTCATATAACAACCAGCTATATAACATAAACTACACATTAAGAACATATTTGACAAGGACATAAAATAAACTGAATAGGTTGCAACCTGTTACGCGGTCAAGTTGACATGCTGATACCTGATACCACCTGATCTACTTCCTGGTATTTGTTAACCCATTTCCTACCGGAACCGGGTTATTTTTGTATTAAAGCTATATGGAATATGTTAAATCAGTAGTCAACATGTTAACTTCCATTACAAATGAAGTTAAAGTTATTTCTTATTCGTGTTTAGATAATTTAGGCCCCTGCTAACCAGCTTTATGCATTGCCATTGGTAATTATGTTATTGAATGTAACTCATGCCTGATTTCCCTTTTTTTATACAGTTTTTCAAATTATCTAAGCAGCAGTTTGTTATATATTTTAGAAATAAAAACATTTATGTAAACACATTTAGTTTGAACTTCTCATGAATAAAGTGTTAATGATGATCGACGATGTAGATCATGAAAACACAGCTGTTTGGGAAAAGTTGTGAGAATTTTAGGAAACATACGATTTTGGGT